CATAGTACCTGCCAGGATCTGAAGGGGCTCCAGGGAAACTGCAGAGGGACTCTGTGTTAGGAGCTGCAGTGACAGGACAAGGAGTAATGGGTATGAATCAAAAGAGGCTGCATTTACACTAGATATTAGGAAGAAGTTTTCCCTGTGAGGGTGGTGAGACACTGGCACAGGTTGCCCAGGGAGGCTGTGGCTGCCCCAACCCTGGCAGTGTTCAAAGCCAGGTTGGATGAGCCTTGAGCAACCTGCTCTGGTGGGAGGTGTCCCTACCCGGGGCAGAGTGGGTTAGGACTGGATGGTCTCTAAAGTCCATTTCAACCCCTTAACATTCTATGTTAACACTATGAATATATATGCAGAATGTCTCAGTATTAATACACCGAGAATTAATCCCTTTTCCCAGAGTATATTGTAGTGCAAAATTACTTAGTGACAGTTTGTTGCCATTGGCTTATTTACAAGCTCAAGACACAGCTAATACAAACATTAGGGGAACAGAACAGAAACACAGATAGAAACAAAAGGAATTGGCATATAATTGGCATTGTTCCTATAAGGAGAAACAGTGAAAACTCTAACCTTGCATTTCTGAGCTTTGGAGTGGTACAGAACATCCTGATAGTGCCTTGCATTTGCTGGTCTTACATCTTGCAGCTTGGCTGTGGGTAACAGCAGGGCTTCTAGAGTTTTCTCAGGATTTCCTTGGTCAATTGCTTCATTAATGTGGCCAATTGCAATGATTCCTATGAAATGGAAAAGTTATTAAACTTGCAGTTATCAAAGAAAGACAAAACTTGCATGGTATCAGGTACAAACAAAGCAGTAACATGAAGTACAGAAAAATCAATTAACAAGAAGCAGAGGCAGCAACAGCAGCTGATTGACAATTTCTGCTCTAATATTCATTTGAAGCTATTATGCTGTACAATTTTCCTTTCTGCCACAGTTACTGATTTATCTGAATCAAACTCTCCATAAAACTCAAAGCTATCCTTACACAAAAATGGAAAACAGACTTCCCAACTTTCTGGGCATAAGTATCTACCTGAAGCTTAAGAGAAGGTTGGGTGTCACATGTAAGTACATTCACCAACATATTGGCTCACAGTGCTGAAAGATATTTTCAAGTGATTTCAGACCAAATTACTTGAAACTCTTATTTGGACACATACTGCACTCCCAGCTACAGCATTACAGAGCAACTTAACCTCATTTATTGTAACTTCACCTTTAATAACCAAATCTAATGATGTTGACCAGCAGCACTCAGTACTTAGGTCAGCAAGTCAAGGCCCAGTGTATTTCATAAAATCTTAACTCATTTTCTTCAGACTGCTCTCAGCAGTTTAGAATCAATTTCCTCCCGGCCCTAAATAGTGTTAAAAATGTGCTGCTTGGGGTACTTTCTCCCTAAAGCCACCCCAGAAGGGCAACAGCCAAGGGCTTCCCTATCACCTGTGAGGGATGATATCCCTGCTGGCAGTGGAACATCTCTCCCAAACCTGCCACAACCCAGCTGGTGAAGTCATGGTTCCACATCACAGGGCTTGGGGAATTATCAGTTTTTCTAAGGTGGTCCCAAAGAGATATGGGGCTTGCTGATGGAAACAGAGACCTCCCTCTTTCTTCTCCCCTCTGCCCCAAATAACCATACCCAGGCAGAGGTCACTGTCACTGAAACCGTGCACAGCTATTTTGGTAATAAACACTCACACTGCTAATGCAAAACCACCTTTTTTAAGGTCTGTTCCAACTCCTAGTGACTGCAGAAGTTCAGATAAAGAAGTGATTCTGTCAGTCAAATGACAGAGCTCAGCATCCCACCCTGCCAGAGGGCACACAGTGAGAGTAAGGTGTGAAGATCCATGTTGACCACTTGACTAGATTTAGGAAGCAATAATACAGCCAGATTTAGTATTTCTCTTACCAGTCTGAAACAGCACATGTGACACATGTGGCAGTATGGGAAGGGCACAGCCTCTCAAAGGCTCTTAAAGGGCACAAAGGCTCTCAAACTGCACTCCAGGCTGCTTCTGAAATGCCAAGCAGACTGAAATCTACCCTCTCATTCATTTCCTTGCTCCAGCAAATTTGGCGTAACTTGATAGCCCTAAATTTCTACATCCAGTGAAGGAACATGGCCCTTTAGCATTTTTGAAGCCCAAGTGACCAGCTGTCACATTTAACACAACACCACTTTTTTTATGGCAATGCATTTATGTTCAGCTTCAAAAATAAACTCTAAATCTATTTACATCAGAACATGTGGGCATAAGAAGCTACTCTCAGACAGGAAATCAAGTTACCTGAAAGGAGAGCAGAATAGATGATTTTACTGTATAGCTTCTTACTAATTCCCTTGTGAAACATAAGCACTTGAAATTATTTAACTTTAAAAACTCTTTTCCATAGGACACCAACTGTAATTTCTCCCCCTATCTCCTAATATGCTCTTTGCTTACAACGGCAAAATCCCCAAAGTGTTCTCTTTCAGCCAGCTGAAACTAGGATTACTTCAAGGACATCTAAATACCAACAGGCTTCCAAAATTTTTTAATGCTCTTCTCTCTTCAAGTGTGTCTGAACAAGGCCATTCAGTACGTAAATTTATGTACCAAATACCAGACGGTGACCTCTGTGGGTGACGTAGGGGAAGAATTACTTACTTTCATTTTCTTCTTGAATTTGCATATTAACCATGTCAATGCAGTTCTGGATATCATTCCAGCTTAAATAATCTTGGCCTTGAGATGAAGCCTCTGACTTAATAGACAATAGTGTATCAGCACAACTATAAGAAGATATAAAATACATAAGTGTATTTCATACACAAGATAAACTGCCATAAAGAATTAGTCAGATGTATCATCCATCATTTAGTGACTACTATTTTTTTTTCAGTGGGTGAATTTCAGACAAATGCAGCTCTTGACAGATACTATGCAGACATGCAAACTGCCTGTTCTACACATGCATTTCAGGATCTGAAAGAACAGCACTAAACTAATTCAGAGCACTTTTCTTGGCAACATGGGATAACGGAAATACCTACACTGGTCATACAATTTGTTGTACAGTGCAACAGAAAAATGTGGGAGAAATTATGGTGAGCTTCTTGCTTTAGAAAACTACGGTTGACTCCACGACACTAATTCGAAGACCAAAATTTCAATGCTAGCATCAGGTAGTAGCACCTCCTGCTACCTTCATGCTCCCTCCACATAGAGAATGATGGGCCATGGGCAGAGGAAAGAACTAAACCAAAATTATGCTTCTCTTGCCGCAACTCAAGGTCCTCCAAGCACAGGCTCTGTAGCCCTTGTCTACTGTTCTTAGAAGGATCACAGATCAGGATGAGCTGGAAACCTTCACAGTAGTGTAAACTCATGCATACATAAGTTAAATAGTATTCATATTCCTGAATCAAGCATACAACTGCCACAATATGCCAGATCATATATGTGTCTTCTCTTTCCAGTAGAAGCATAAGGAATGAATAGTTCCCAGAAGGAAAATGGGGGAACCTCATCATTTCCTAGTCTGATTTGTCCTTCAAGTATCCAGTAGCTTTCATTTAGGGGTTTCCCAAACTGGAGGTAATGTATCACTTTAATAGTTGCAAGCAAGTCTGTGCTCCATCAATTTAGTTACTCTAATTTAAAGTCTTGATATTATTGAGGAATGAGTCCCACTGAACGTTTTGTGAGACGACAGATCTTTATAGCAAGTTTAAACTTTATATTTGATGGAGTCTAATCTTTTCTTGATTCTATTCTCATAAGAAAATAAAAACTAGAGCTATTAGAAGCTAACAACTTATTAACCTCTCCCACAACTTGCACACTTTTGCAGACCTAGGACATATTTCCCCTGAATTCTCTCTTCTAGGAAACACATTCCTAACAAGTTCATCTCTTCTGATAGAAAGTCATTGAACAGCGTGTCCCTCAATCAACTTTTTCTAGCTCTACTGTATTTCTTCCGGTATTGTACAGGTCAAAGCATTCTGAGATATTCAACATATGGTTAGTAGCACAGATTAAGTTTTATTTTATTGTGTAGTCCAACTAGTTTCTAGAGTTTTTATCTGTATTGACTGGCAGCTTATTCAGAAGATTGGGTCACTAACATCAGCCAGAAATGCTGCACCTGGACACTTAGGGGACCATTTCTGCACACTTAAAACATTACTTCTCTTGGCCACGATCACCACCTCATATTAGAAGCAGATCAGTTTTGCACTATCTTATTTATTCTTCTCCCTCTAACCAAAACACTGGCCTTCCTTTTCCTAATCTGACTGCTTTCCTTCCAGCTTTGAGACACCCAGCAAGGGCACACTCAGGTTCAGGTCCCCTGACAACCTGGTGTAGGTCTTCAGCTACTGCTGTCCCTTCTGCCTACTAATGCTGTCCAGAAGCACACAGAGGTTTCCACCACCTGTGACCACAAGGCAAGAACTAGTCCACATCCCCATGCTCTCCCCTGCGCAATGAGGGCTCAGGGCTCTGACATATGGGTAGTGCTGCCTGATATTTTCTGTAGACACACAAAAGAGCACAGAGGTAGCAGCACATGGCTGTGATGAGTCAGGCAAGTGACAGTGCAAGCAGTTGGCAGCTGAGTGAAGGCCATAATGTAATGCTGAACATGTGTGTGCCACAGCACTGTACTCAGCTCTTTAGCAAGCAGCACTGTGCTATGTTTTTCAGGTCTTCGCAATTCTCAAGTGAAGAAAAGGGTTCAGACATGGCTTAAGGGACCTCCTGGACCTTTAGGCATTAAACGCTATCTCGTTCCAAAGATCATCTCTCGGAATTGCAAAGTGGTTAGTGATTAACATTTTCCACCTATAGTCGGCTCATGTTTTAGTGCCTGCAAAAATTCTTGTCAGATCTTAATGTTTGCTTTCTGAAGATATTTTCCTTGCACCTCACACATCTGCTGCCTTCAAACACCAAAGGTTGTGCAATTGCTTACATTTAGATACACAACTAGTTCAGCAATTGTCATGCTATCCCTTATTAACTTAGATCACAGATCTTGCAGCTCTTTCAACTCCATAGCCACAATCCAGGACAGCCCACCCAGTAAAATGTCTCTTTTTTTTTTTTGCAGAAGTTGCCAAGTCTCATCCAGACAAGACAAAATGAACCTTTACCGTTGAAAGTTTTCTTCTTCCAGATTATTGAAGCCAATGCATGGGTTTCTGAGATGATTCCTTATCATTAGGATGTCCTTATTTTCCAAGGCCTGGTTTAGCAACACAACAGCTGACAACATTTCTACTGCAATAAACAGTTCATCATGTGCCAGGTAGTTCTGTAGGACAATAATGTACTGCAGTCAGGAGGCTAAATAAGCAGTGTAACAAATTTGAGTTACACAGTCTAGATACCATCAGGAATATGGACTTGATTAAAAAAGCCTGGCAAGTTCCTAGTCACAGGCATGCCAGATTAACACAACATCGGTGGTGAAGCCTACTGGGTTTGCTCAATATCCCATCCCTCCAGACTTTCCTTCTGTTGCCCCACAGTCCCAACTATTCTTGTATTACCCTCACAGCAGGGGACTACTTTTCTACACAGTATATAAACCAGAGTTAGTCCTCATTAAGAGCATGCAACAAGTAAAAATGTCAGTTGATTTGTTGCAACACGAGCTCAGCCAGACTGAAGTGTGTCAAGAAACAAACTCTACAATTCCATACTGCCTACTCAACCAAAACCATCATGCAATATGTAACACCACAGAAGGAAACTACATCTAGTTTTACACAACAACATGCTATGTTTGTGCTCTTCCATGGACTGACTACACAATATCAACAAGCAGGTTGTAAGCTTTTCACTCTTACCACAGCATTCTGTTGTTGGAGGTTGAACAGCTCAATCTGATAGACAGCAGCAGCAAATGAGTAAACAACAGGCAGCTGTGCCTCCGGTTTCATCAGTGCAACCAGTGTGTTACTAGGATCACAGTTACGAATTGCAGTATTGATATTGTCAACCGCTATAAGTTCTAGAGAACAGCAGGGGGGAAAAAAGCTTATTAATTTTCACATGCCATTTGCTCTTCATGCCATGTAGATGACAATTAGATTATTCCAAAGAATATAATTTGCTGCTATAACAGGAAAAAAAATGTCTTTTTTGTGAAATTTTTCAGGACACAACTGGTGAATGTTGCAAAAATGTTGTATGTTTAAAGGTATGACTGGACAACTTTAAGTTTCTGGGCTGTTAGAAATGAGAGCTTGCTTGTTACAGTCCTTTAACATAAAGCAAGGACCTGACCCCTTCCTAGCACAAAGATATAAATCCTCCTGGATTTGCTTGTGGCTGGTTCTGCTGTGTATGACAGCTACAGCTCCCCAGTCTTGCTTCACCCCTTCATTTCCTCCCTCACCTCTTCCTTTTGGCAGGACCTAATTGAGCTAGCTAAAACAAGCCTGCCCTGCAACACCAACAGCATTATTATTGCCTGTTTCGGGAGGCCTGGTAGAAATCAGCCAAATGTGTTGGAGGGTTGGGATTTTCTGCCAGAAAATCAGTAGCTGAACTGATTAAAATCCACATGCTACAGTTTCTAGGACTCTGTATGCCAACACCTGCTCATTTGCCTGCCAGTGTGGAAGATCAGTCCTCACAACCACTGCCATCTAGAAATGAATCCCTTTAGATTTTACTTTAAACAGACCACGTTAGAGGGATATGAGTGTAACCCCTTCTGGTACCTGAACAACTCACCTATTTTGCTTTTTGCTGAACTGACTTCAGAAGTTTTGAAGCCCAGCAGAAAAATGCTGAAAAACACTTCCCACTTGGGCAGCTGCAGAAGCCTTACAACACCCCTCAGCTTAGTCACAGCCACCGTAATTGCACACCTGGAAGAGCCACCTCTGAGGAAAGCCAGGTCAGGGCACACCCAGGAACATGCTGTGCAAGGAACCACTCTGGTCTTGCAGAAAGGGAAACAGCCTTGAAGGTTAGAGTGCATGTGGCAGAGTAAAGAATAGCAATTATGCAAATGCCCTTTCCATCAATAACCTCCATCTCCTCCACTTTTTCTGTATACTGTTACCTAGGGAACATGTTTAGTCACCACCGACTGCTCCAATCTGTACAAAACTGCTTGTACACCGGACACCATCCACAGTTCATGTATGCAGCAACACTCACAGCTTGTTATGCAACACAAAGACTTTGAAAACCTTTTTAAGTCACCAGGCCCACCTAAAAAAGGCCCTTGTCTCTCATTTCAATTGTCTGAAGCATGGTCCTATGGGACCATTTTGTCCCTGAAGGCTATTCCTGAGGTTAGAACAAGGAAAAGGTCTCACAGCTACAGCATGCATGCTTTAAGAGAAAAGAGGAAAAGAGTCAAGGTCCACAACTGGGCTAGACTAGTTCTGCAGCCAAAAGCCAAGCTACTGATTTCTAATGCTAAAACTTAGCCTGCAACTTGCAAAACACACTTCTTATTGCTCACAGTTCCATAACAAAACCCACTATGTCTTCCTTCTCAAATCAATCATAAGAACTAAGCTGCTCTCCAGATTGCTGTTACTGCTTTCCACACATCACATTTTCCTCTTCCTTGCCTTTACCAAGAGGTAAGTTTTCCAGAGAAAAGAGTACTCCTTACCATGACTAACTTCTAGCTTAAGCTGCCCTCACAGTACAGCCTTTAAGGCACAATACAAAAGCAATCAGCCTGGATTCAAAGCATTGGAAACAGTACCAAAGACATCACAGCCACTAAGCCATGCCCAGATGCAGCATGAAATGACAGCAGGTTAACTTCCTAGCAAAGGAGTTTCCAGTCAAAAGCAGCAACACATGCACTGCAAATTTAGATCCCCCTTAACTATATTTTTTAATGAGCTAAAATTTGTGTCAGGCTAAGTATAGGTTAGATTTAGAGATGTGTTTAAAAGTGAGAACAATTTTCCTCTGTGATGTGATTGCAAAATATTCTTCCATGTTAACATTCTGTTTTCATTCTACAAGTATGGTCATTGCTCCCAAGTGAGGATTACTACTGCACTGATAAATACTTGTCCAAGCCACCAAGCCATGCATTGTCTTCACTTTTAGACAATGTGTTTACCAATGGCTCAAGTTATTCACAGTTATTACCAAATAAGAGTACAACATCCAATGCACAGGTTTGTGACTTGGCAATTGTGACACTGAGAAGAACAACTACAAGAATATAACACACATGGTTTCAGTTTGAGAAACCTTGTTTATGTGCAAGAAATGGTGGACTCAGTTCATTATCTTAACATAATAAAATGGTGATGGTAAAAAAAAGAAAGTTATTAAAACAGTTACTCACTAAGCTTGTGGGCCTCAGCTTCCGCATTGGCAACACTAACTTCTTTCTGTATTTCATTTTTGTCGAGCATATTTGGACCCCCTGCTATCTAACAGATCAGAAAAACAATATTTAATTATGGGTTTCAGTTGGAGATAAGGGATAAAACCCCTTGACATTTGGGGATCTGATAGCACTAGGATTGTACTATCCTCTGTGCATCAAATATAGTATCACAGTAAACACAGCATTGATCTTTTTCTGTAATTTTCGTATTACTTAACATGATAACTTTTCTCCTTGTAACCCAACTGGCCCTTTAATTTGCTGTTAATGATTCAATATTAATTATTTTTTGTACCTGAGTTATAATTAATTTTCAAAACAAAGTATTAGGGGCTGAATGTTGTATCTCACGTCTTCTTATATTTTGGTATTTTAGTATCTTTTAGTAACTACTTAGAAGTGCATCATGCTCTTTAGAGCAAATGCAGCACTTTGGTGTCAATTAGTATATCAATTACTCCAAAATCTCTGTAAAACTTTTCATAAGTGATGCTGAAGGCAGAGCAAAGACAATTTCTCTCTGGATTAAAACCAGCTAAAAAAACAAAAGCAAACTGACATGTAGTACCTGTGGAATCCAATCCTGCATTTTCTGTTCTTTAGCATCACACAATTGCATTAGGTACCATGAGGAATTTTGCGGCAGAACTTCAAGTAGGCTCAGAGCAGGACGGTTCAAACCTGCCATCAGTGCCACTTCATCTTGCCGGTCAATAGCCTCATTCACTTGGACTAAAGCTATGTGAACTGAAATGAAAACAATGCTCATAAACAGCAAATAATACTTTTGTAGGGGGAAAAAAAGGTCCACTGCTGTCAGCGTCTCACTTTCTGTAAAACCCATCTAGGGTGATAATCTTTATCTAACAGAGAAATATCTCTTTCAAGTCCAATCCTACAAAGGGAGTCTCTGGCTCTGAGTGAACCTGTGTGGGAGCTGTTCAACCACAGCTAAGTGGAAGCTTATGAATGAGTTTTGGCTTCATATAGAAGAGGGGGTCAAAATTTACAGCATTCTGCACACAAAAGGAACATAAGGAAACAGAGCAGGCAATAAATGATTTGATTCTGAACCAAGGAATCCTTACAGCAAAAACCACAAACAGACATCAGCCCTCTCCCTCCCCAAAGATTAGTAGAGAAGGAGCAGCGTGAAAAACAGTTGTAGACAGGTATTAGCTACTTGTGCACATAATTTTCCACGAGAATATTTTGTTTGTTCATGTGGACTCAAGTTGTGTTCAGCTGGAATCTGGGAGATCACATGTGGTGTGCATACTTCCATAAGGATCCAGAATGGCTTACTGTTTATCTTATTGATATTGCCTTGAATCTCAGCTTGTGTCAGCAGCTCCTCGTAGACATCCCTCTCTTCATCAGAGATTGTGCCCTTCTAGGAAAACAAAATTATTGCTAGTACACGCAAGACAATTTGTAGAGAGAAAAGCTATGAGCAGGAGTCATTGAAACTGCATCAGCTGAAGAATTTGCTGGATGTATTTGTAAAGGAATTTGTTGACCACGTGAACTAAAGAAATTAGCACAACTGGCTGAGCCATTTTCTGCTTCCTGTAAAATAGCTATATGAATATAATGCAGCATCTTTAACTACAGAGATCATTAGCTCTCACATAAAAAACCCAAAGCAAATAACTTCTCATTAAAGATCTGTGGCAGAGGTTATACTCTACGCTCAAAAAAGGGTATAATTCTTTTGACAGCTTCTCAAACGGTAGATTTGTTGGGTTTTTTCTATTATAAAGCAGTTAATAGAGGAAAACCAGTCTATTTTTGGTTTTAACCTTAAGGGATTTTGAGCCTTTTGGGCAAAGTTAAGCTCTATCACACACATTCTTACAAAGTTTGCTATCAGCTTGTTGCATTACCAGTATTTCTGATTTATATTCTTATTTATTATGCTACCAGTATTTATTTTGCTTATTGCTTTCTTTTTCCTAACTGCACTATTAAAAATATTAAGCTAATTTTTAAGACAATAATGCTACAGCATGAGGAGAAACAGAAAGGAATATGTGTACTAGCAGCACTTAGTAAACACCACTACCTTGAGACTTGCACTCGATTCTTTTTTCCTTTTAGCTTCAAAGAGTTCATTCTGGTAGTCCTGTGCCAGTTCCTCATCCACGTTGAGCAGCATTGCATTTGGGTTCCTCAGAGTTGCAATGGTTTGTTCAGCTATTCCCTTCTCGACAGCTTCATTAATTGCTATCACTGCTGCATGCACTAAAATTAAAAGCACAGTCCTAAATTTCAGGGAGCAGAAACCTTCAAAACTGTCACTGTTTCTTCTGATATATTTGAAATGAGTTTTTAATTTATGTTCAGCGATATAGAGATTCCCTTTCAAACATCCATGTTTCCTCCAGACTGCAGCACTCTGCTTACTCCAAGGTTGCTGTCTGTTTAATGTCCACCCTTCTCTCAAGTAGGGGTTACTTTTTTACCGACAGAAAATAAAACATGAGTTATGTTTTATCATTCAAGTTCTATTTCATTTAGAAGGCAATTACATGCAGGAATTGGAAGCAGTTTTGGTAGTTTTTACTTTAAAGCTGCTTTGTGTCCACAAAGATAAGACACACATGAAAATACTGTCTAAACTAAGTATATCTGGAAGATGCCATACAAGAATAAGGAAATGCAAACTGTGTTAAACTCATCCTCTGAAAAAACACAGTTAAGACTCCCCAGACAGGGTGCAGCCCTACACACCATATCTAAGCCTGCCTGGAGTGAACTGGCTCATTTCCTAACTGAGGAATCTGAAAGACAGTGATGTAATGGTCCCTCCCTTCACCTGCAAAGTGACAAGACAGCAGACTGCAAATGGGGCAAAGAACACACAGTGGCCTTTGCAGGGTTCTCAAAATGTTATCACACAGGAAATGGGGAAAAAGTGTCACAGGACTCACTCGACCAGCTTAAGTGTTACGCCTTTCCTCTGAGAAAACACAAAAACTTCAACTACTAAACAAATGCTTGACTCCAAGAATTTAATAATCAGAAATGGTCATGATTTTTCACACAGAAAATTTGTATGAGTGTACAAATCCAAAACCTCTTGCAGCTGAATTAGGTGTAAAGTCAAACACACCCCTCCCAGCTATTCCCTGTGCACCTTTGGCCTCAAAATCAGTCTAGGTAAAGGACTGGCCCTAGACATACAGTTTATATGGACCTTCATGCCACAAAGGGACCCCAAGGACTGTCAGTTGGCACATTAATTTCAAAAGATTTTACTGACATTGGTACATAAATTTGTTTGTCCTCAACATCAGAAGGACATGGAACTGCTGGAGCAAGTCCAGAGGAGGCCACGAAGCTGCTAAGAGCACTGGAGCATCTCCCCTATGAGGACAGGCTGACCAGGTTGAGACTGTTCAGCTTAGAGAATACAAGACTGCGCAGAGACCTCTGAGCAACTTTTCACTATCTGAAGGGCCTACAAGGAGCTGGAGAGGGACTGTGTGTTAGGAACTGCGGTGACAGGACAAGGGGTAATGGGTTCAAACTCAAGGAGGGAAAGTCTAGTTTGGATGTGAGAAAAAAAGGTTTTCCCTGTGAGGGTGGTGAGACACTGGCACAAGTTGCCTAGGGAGGCTGTAGGTGCCCCGACCCTGTCAATGTTCAAGGCCAGGCTGGATGAGGCATCTAGTGAGGAGATGCCCCTGCCCAGGGCAGGGGGTTGGGACTAAGTGATGTGTAAGGTCCTTTCCAACCCCTAAATTCTATGTTTCTATGATAAAATGCAATTCCTGATGAATATTTATCTAAAATATATCCCAAAGGAGGAACACCACAGTTCCTCATTTATCACCATGGCAGCTTGTCTAGGATTTAGTTTCATGCCACCAAAGAGACATGTGAAGGAAAACACAATGACCATCTTTCCTCATTCTATCAGTATTTACTTGCTACATGGCCCTGCTAAAGTGGAGAAAAGCTGTCACTAAAAAGCCTTTTTTGGATTGACTGAGGGTCTATATACCTAAAGTTTAAAGACTTCAGTTTCTCTCAGTTTTTGAAGGAATGGAAGATGATTCAGATTTGAGGATTTAGAAAAAACAAAGGAATGTACAAATGTAGGAAAGTAGGACAGAAGAGCAGATCATTGAAAGACCAATAGGAGCAAATGAAGCATGAACTGAAGCTATACACAGTCAGAGGTGACAGCTACTGGAACAACCTGCACAGCTGTTGGAGGATAATCCATTGCTTATCACTAAATTCATTCCAGAAAATTGTTCTAAAATTATTTTGCTCTAGCTCAGTGCAGCACACTATCAGATGGGAAACATAGCAGCTGGAATGGTAGAAAAGGTACAAGCAGAGAGACAAGAGAGAGTTTCATCTGTCCTTAAATAATGTGAACAGGGGAAATTCACACTGGACATTAGGAAAAGGTTCCTCATTGAGAGGGTGGTCAGGCACTGGAACAGGGTCCTCAAGGAAATGGTAACAGAACTAAACCTGCCAGAGTTCAAGGAGCATCTGGACAATACTCTCAGCTGTATGATTTAGTTTTAGGTAATCCTGTGAGGATTAGAGACTTGGACTCAATGATTCCAGCTTGAGACATTCTGTGATGCTGTGTACATCCCTATCAGCTTCAAGGGACTAATAGAAGACTGTCCTGCTTAGACACACATACCACTCCCACATCCTCACAGAACAGAACACACAGGAAGGCTATACTTTCTCCCACAATTGTGTAAGAGGCCTCACTGTGCTGTGTGGAGCTAACAAAAAGTAGTCAAAAGATAGGTTCAAGATTAGGAGAAAAGTAAACATGTATTAGTGGATGTGAATCTATCTACCAAGAGAAACAGTGAGAAGCCTGACTGGACTTGAAAGAGTAGGCTGTAAGCACAGACTATCAGAGAGATTTCCTTGCAGAATGAACTTTTTGGAACTACTTAAGCTTACTCTTTGCATGCTGATTTCTACTATTGCTGGCATCAGACTAGGAGACATCAGCAGTTGTTTTGCTTCGTATCTCCTTTTACACACTCCATTTAAGGAGAAGAATGGTAGACCCCCTTCCTCTGGCCGGATCTCCATATCCAACCTCACTGGTGTATGAGGTCTCCCATAGCAGATGTTTCCTGTTCTGAGGCAGAGCATGTTATCTACAGCACACTCCTTGTCCAAAGGGACAGAACCAGCATCAGGAAATGCTGTTTTTCTAAGACTGAAAACACACTTCAGGAGTTAAAGGAAACCCCACACACTATAATAAAACTTTCAGAGAAGG